TAGGCATGTGCCCTAGACTGGGCCCATCGAATCAGCGACCTTCTGATTTGAAGGCCCATGCTCAATCCACTGAGCTGTGCCAGCCAGGGCTGTAGTTTGTTTATTTTTTTAATGAAAGAAATTTGTGCCTTGGAGCCACTAACATCTTCATCAGTAAGTTCTCTGTTGACCTTGCTTAAAGGAGTCACAGACACACAAAAATTGCATAAACATGAAGTGATACTTTGACATTATTACAGAACTGATAATGCCCTTCTTGCCCTTGGATCACTTTATAAGAAGCATACATGTAGAGTGATTTCCCTTTGGTGACTACATTAACCAGTGCTGTAGTCTTTGGTGTAGATTCGCATATTGCATATTCATTCTAGTCTTCTTGGGAACATTATGTCACTAGAAGTCTAGTAGAGTTGTAAGCAGTATTACTTGATGATCAGCTTTCTATCAAAGATAAATCTTTTTGACCGACTTCTTGGAATTACTTTCATAATGCTTAAGACTGAAATTTCTGATGAAATGCAGGTAAATCCTCCATTTGGTTAGCAGAAAGTAGAAATGGCCGGGGTTAGAGGGAGGACAGGGAGGGAGAAAAAGACACTAAAATAGTGGGCTACAGTGCCTTATGACTCTAAATAGGTTTATCTCGATGTTGGAGAAGGGTTAGGAATTTCATCTGTGGATTTCTGGCATTTTAGCTGCCACAGTTGTGTCTTTACTCACAAATGCAAACCATATGCTATCACTTTACTTCTTTGGTTCAGTATATGATTTGCCTTTTCCTTCCAAGGAAGCTGTAATATTCTACCCCTTTTTTCTCCTCATGAAGACTTACTGTAAATACTCTCCTACACATCCTTTTTATATGAAGAACTGCTGGACCTCAGCCAGCTTATTCAGATCTTGTTCTGCAGCACTGCACAGAGTCAACAATTAGAAATCTTTCGAATTTTATGTGACATAAAGGTGATCTACTCAGTTCTATACTACTTTGTTTAAAATACAAGTAGGCAAAAGGTCACATTAAAAAGTCAATGTTTAGCCCTGGCTGGTGTAGCTCAGTGGATTGAGTGCAGGCCTGCGAACCAGAGGATCACGGTTCAATTCCCAGTCAGGGCACATGCCTGGGTTGCAGGCGAGTTCCCTGCAGGCCAGTTCCCAGCAGGGGATGCACTAGAGGCAACCATACATTGATGTTTCTCTCCCTCTCTCCTTCCCCTCTAAAGATAAATAAATAAATAAATATTTTTTTTAAAAAGTCAATGTTTAGAATAAGAGGAGGAAAACTAGTTTTTCTTGATACCTGCGCGGAATTAGCATTCAATTAAAGTGATCAAATCTATGCCTTTAAACAACCTAACACCTTGACTCAGGCTGGGTTAGGTTCCCCTTCTCAGTACACTCCCATAATATGCTGTGTATATGTTCTTACTGCTCTGCTTCTGTATTATTTCATGATTGCCTGTTGTATGTCTTAAGTCTTCTGCCCCACAAATCCTTATCTTAAGCCATGAACTCTGTGAGGATAAAAACTGATTTGTACCACTCTACCTGGTACATAGTAGGTGCTGAAATAAATATTGGTGTGAATATATGAGTTTTTAAAAAGGAAAGTTACTCTTTAATCCTATTAGAACCTTAAAAATTTCCCACTCAGTTAGTTGGCTTTGTCTCCAACAATATTTTAGCAGTATAATACAGATTTTAGTAATACATGTTATTCAAATTCAGGTAAACAATTTAATGAATCAACTTTTATTTCTCCAACTGGGTCATTGCCCTATAAGTTAATTAGAGCCTGAATTCTAAACATGAAAAGAACTAGAGCCCTGACCAGTGTGGTAGAAGGTCGCTAGTTCAATTCCCGGTCAGAGCACATGCCTGGCTTGCAAGTTCAGTCCCTTGTCAGGGCGTATGCAAGAGGTAACCAGTCAGTGTTTCTCTCATGTGGATTCTTCCCTCCCTTCTCCCCTCTCTACAAAAAAAAATGAGTAAATAAAATCCTTTTTAAAAAGAAAGAAAAGAACTAGAATTACCTTAGTTTATCCCTTCAGCATAAGTAAGCTAAGCCCTCTAATGTGCAGGCAGGCACTATAATAGGAACATGGTTTGTTGGGAGAGAGAGACTTGTAAATAAAGGGTTATAATATATCATGAAGACTTTATTATTGAGAGCTGGGACTGTTAGGGAAAGTTTCCTTGAGAAAGTGACATTCGTACCAAATCTTAAAGAATGAGGGGTTTAGATATGAGAGAAGGGGGTGAGCATTACAAGAAAAGGGAACAGCATATGGAAAAAACTAGAAGTCTACAGACACAGAAATGGCAAGTGTATATAAAGGGAAGTATTAGAAGATGAAGCCAGAGGTTTTAAAAAGCAGACCTGAATGGATTCCTGCAGAGTTTGGAATTTAACCTTAGGCCTAAGGGCTAAGGTCACTGAAAAATTTTAAATGGAGGAATGATGTGATCTCACTGTTACCTACTTGTGTCTTTCCTTCAGAGATTTTCTGACCTTGTTTTTCCCTATCATTACTACTGCTGTCTCTGCTAATGCTTGGTGCCAAGTTAACTTATTTGGTTAGAGTAAAATGGTCTTAGGTTGCAGTTGGGAATGTTATAAAACTGTATATAAAAACTACATTTGGAAATGTAGAGTTGCCTTCCTCACCCCAGCCCCCTGCCAAGAAAAAAATCTACCATAGCTAGATAATGTGACTCTAATCCCATCTTATTACCTAATGTAATAATTGATAGTCTGTGAATATGTCATTCCATTCTTACTGCAAAAAGGAAAAAAGTGATGTTTTGGTTTAAAAATAAATGTTCTGTAACCTTCTGATAACTACTTAAGCAAAATAAAGGTGGACTACACATGAAAGCAACTGAATTTTTACGCCTTAAGACTTTCTTAATATTTTGTGTTTAACCCTTTTTAGGTTTTTCATGTTCTATATTTAGATTATAAATGAGCACACTAGACTTGAAATCAAGAGAGCTTCTATCAGGCAACCACAATACTCATGGTGATTGCTGTTTTCATTTTTGACCCATTGCAAAGCATTCACAGTTGCATGATTGTTTGTGCACAGGGTCTTAGTCAGTCTCACAATAAATCATTCTTTGGAATTTTACAAAGATGTCATTCTTGGCATCTAAACTGAAGATCATTTGTGGCCAACCCATCATTTTCCATTTATGAATCCCTTTTAATTAGGAAGTAGTTACAAGCTGTCCTATATTCTAAATGTAATTTGAAGTGACAGATGGCACACATGCACATGACCTGGATGTCTCAAGCCTTTTTACTTACTCATGTGCAAGGGTCCTTCAGTAAAGCCAGCTCCAGGTCTGGGAGGCCAGCAAGCCACCTCCTGGGGAAACCCAGGCCTCATTTGATTCATTGCTGCCACCTGCTGGGAGCGGCCACTGAAATGGGAAAGCTGCTGACATGGTAGAACTGAGCCCAAGAAGGGCCATAGGAGGAACTTGTGTGCACATAGTTCCAGTGCTAATCAGCTGTCGTTTCTAGGTGACAACCTATCCTTAAATAAGAGGACTTTATAAACTGTAGAGTATTATACCAATGTAAGGTGGGGTTAGGTTACGTTGGTTGATGCATACTGTCCACCAATGATGAGGCTCAGAGAACACTTCAGAGACTCAAAAATCCTAGAATATTAGAGCTGGGAGAATCCCTAAAGCAGATGCTGTGGAATTTTAATTAAACCAGAGTCTCTTGGGGGCTTTTGGAAATGCAGATACCCAGGCCTGGCCCTAGAGAGTTTGATTCACTAGGCGTAAAATGGTGCTTATTTAACAAGTGTCCCATGAGGTTCTGGTGCAGGTAGTCTAGCACCACACTCAAGAAGGGCACTGCCTTAAACACTATCTAGGTAAGAACTTATAAGTCATTTTTGTAATCAGTGCCTCATTTCAATAAATACAGTATTACACCTTTCATCAAAGAGATATCACTATAATACTGTAACTGGTTCTTCGAAGCATACACACAAACATTATTTTTGGATTGGTTTGTTCTGTAGCAGGAAAAAACAGTCACTTTTAAATGATTAACTTTTCTGTCTGCTCCAAGAAGGAGGTAAAGCACTATAATTTATAACTGGTTAGTTTATAGTGGATGCTTTTGGCCTTGGACATTGGTAAGTAGGATTTGGATTTAGTATTATATTTATCATAGTCATCATTTTCATAAACATATAGTAATCATTTGGTATTAATATCTGTTGAATTTTCAGGGACCTGAAATATTACAATGCAGAGTTCTGCCCTACAATAGCTATCTGCTTGCCTCATTCCTTCCTTAGGAGGAGCCACGCACAACAAAGCTGCAGCCCCCAGGGTTTTAGTATGGCTAGCTACCACTTCTTATCTTCAATCAGTCTTGACAAGCTTGGCCAAGATAGCAATAGTAAAGACAAAAATGACTTTCCTTGTTACACAGGAAAAATAAGTGATCTGAGAGCAAATTTGAAAACTCAGAACTGAGAATTCTGGGTGCCAGTCATGTGCTTGCCTCATAGAATATTATTGTTCCAAAAATATTTGTCATGTTTTATGTGCTCCTGCTTCTGAAATGACTAGTTTAAGAATCACTATCTCTGTGAACTTAGGCCACTGAACTCAGGGGCAGGTTACACTTGGTATACAGTGTTATCTTAGTAAGCATTGGGCACCAGTAATTTTCTAGGCTTTTTTAATCTCTCAGGTCATTGTCATTCAGGACTTCCAACCTCTTTACTGTAGATGATCATATATTGAATGCAGTTATCTTATATTGCATAGGTAAAATTGAAAGGCAGTTTATTGAACCTCTTTATAGAGAAACATTGTTGCGCGAACAGCATCATAATTTTTATTATTTATAGAATGTGGTTTGGTATATCATTTTATGTTAAATTTTGTTTCCTGCCTTCAGAATCTCATCTCTTTGGGTTTGTTTGTTTGTTTGTTTGTTTGTTTGTTTTGGGTTGTTTTTATAGGGCTACCTGAAGGAAATCTTAAAAGAAATTGGTATTCAAAATGTAAAAGGGATCCACAAAAACACATGGGAGCTGAAACCAGAATACAGACACTATCAAGGAGAAGAAAAGAATGATTAAGAAGATTCTAAGCCAGCATGCTAACAGAACTCAAGGGTGATGTGTTAAGCATACTGCTTTGATACTTGAGCACTTGAGCACCATCTGTTACAGGCGTAAAATGACTGATACTATAATTTCCCTGGGTAAATTTTCTAAACAATGATTCTTGAAAAGTTACTTGTTTTTTTTTTAAGAGAAATAACAAATTTACTTATAGACTTGTATTAAGTCAGATTATTCATGATGGGGATAAGACATTATGTAATTAAAGCAAATCAAGGAAATAACTATCCACTGAGATAAATATTTTTCTGTATTATTTGATTTTAACAGCAGAACACCAGAATGCTGAGGTTGAGTGCCACTATACTAAGAAAATTTTTATCCTTGCATTCTCACTGTAAAATAAATCCTGATTAAGGAAGGTGGTCTTGTTTTCCTGCCCTGCCTCCAGTTGTCTTATCCTGCTTTGTTCTGGTATGGGAAGCAAACCCTTTCCCCACTGCCTTCCAATTCTTAACTATTTGAGACTTGGTGTCAGGAAGCAGGTGGATAATGGTGTGATAAATCTGTATAGGACTGAGAATTCTTGATGCCTGTCCTGTGCTTGGTTTGTTTGTAGCATATAACTTTTTCAGAACTTTGTCTTTTTATGTTTGAAACTGCCCTGAAACACAACCTGTGTCTTCTACCCCTGCCTTTTGTATTTGTGGTGACAGTGCCTGCCAGGTGGAACTTGGTGGCTGCTAATAGCATTTCCGGACCACAGCTCTGTGTCATTTGAAGTCATGCGTTGATATTTCTGCAGACCTGTTTTCTTCAGCTTATTTTAGTTACCTTTAGCTCATCATACCTGACAGTATCTGCTTCAGTCTTTTAAACATTTAGTTTGAGCCTCTTAAACACTTGTTACCTTTCAATAGGATAGCTAATCTGTGTGGTAGACTGGTGTCATTCATGATTAATTTTTTTGGAGTTGCTTTCTTAATCATTACTAAAATATTGGCCATGGAAGAGACTCCCTTTTACCTATGTTTCCATATTCTTTCTTGTCATAAAGATTTTTTATTTTTATTTTTAGAAAGGGGGAAGGGAGGGAGAAAGGGAGAGAACCATCGATATGCAAGAGATACATTAATTGGTCACCTCTTGTGCATCTTCTACTGGGGACCTGGCCTGCAGCACAGGCATGTGCCCTGTCTGGGAATCAAACCAGTATCTTTGTGGTTCACAGGCTGGGACTCAATCTACTGAATCACACCAGCCAGGGCTGAGTTTCCATATTATTTTATTTCAGGACTCGCTTACTCTGATAACATGCTTTTGACTGCCAGAAATGAGGAAGTAAAAATCCTAAACCCTAAACCATTGTGAGATTGAGAGGAAACCATTGTGAGATTGAGATTAACAATGTCATCTATATAATAGATGAGATTGTTAAAACTCAGCCAGTACACAAATTTAGGGTATGTTTTAACTTTCAAAATGTAATAAGATTATGGTTTCTGGACATTGGAAAGATTTAAATTAGGTGTTGCCACAGTAACTTCTAAAGTGATACATCTTAAAAAAGAAAACAGAATTTGCTCTGTTGTATTATAAGTAGCTCTTATGCGTTTCAGCAGTGTTGCAGTTCTTAAGGGTCTATGAACAAATCTTCTTTGAAGCATATTTTGATCAATGTTGGTATATACCAGTGAAATAAGAGTGAACACTTTTCAGGTCCTTACATGCCTGACAATGTGTTAAATGCTCTAAAATATCTCATCAAATCCTCAGAAATAGTGCTGAGAGATAGTGTCAATTTTATGGAACCATTTCCTGCCCACCATACATACCCTCATGAGTACTGCTCCCTCTTTGGAGGAATGCTACCCTTAGAGCAAAGTGAACAAAAGAGTGGACTTACTTTCCCAGAACTTGCCCTCCCCCTGCACCCCCAGTCTTACCTCCAGACCAGGAAGAAGGTGCAGATTGCAGACAGAGTTGTGAGGAGGGGAGTTTATCTCTGGCATCCGCACTTGAATTCAGACATCTAAACACCCATCCCCACCTCCCCCCTTTAGTAAAAAGAAGATCTTTGTACTAAATTTAAATTTCTGTTACACTTCAAGTACCTGGGTAGGGTGTGTGATGTATGACTTTAGAGTGGACTCTTTTAGACCTCCAACAGAGTTAAGGAGCCCAGTGGAATATGACAGAAGGTGGGGCACTGAGCTGAAGGGGAGCTGCCTTGGATTAAGACTTCTCGTGCTGCAGACACCCCTTTCATATCAATACATTGGCCATCTTCCCTATCATTTTTATAAGAGTCCAGATGATAAGCTGCTTCTCTTTTTGATTGAGTTTTCTTTCTGATGTATATACAGAGCAGGTTCCTGAGTATAGTTTAATTTGCATAATGTGTAAGAGGAAATATCAGAGATCACTTTTGAACCTGACTTTTCACATACTCATTCTTTCTTCTTCCTACTTTGGACAAGTACCACCATCCATAATACAATTATATAATGTAACTTCTGACAGATGAACACTGTGAGCCTTTAATTATTTAAGAAAATTAACAGGTTTTTTAAAAGATTCTATTTACTTATTTTTAGACAGAGGGGAAGGGAAGTACAAAGAGAGGGAGAGAAACACCACTGTGTGGTTGCCTCTCATGTGCCCCCTACTGGGGACCTGGCCTGCAACCCAGGCATGTGCCCTGACTGGGAATCAAACCAGCAACCCTTTGGTTCACAGGTCGCATTCAGTCCACTGAGCTACACCAGCCAGGGCGAAAATTAACAGTTTTTATCTGATTTTGTTAGAAATCATCTAAATTAAGGACTTTTTAGATGCTCTAGTTTACAGTTTAAAATAGATTCTTAGAAGTAATTTAAACTTAAATTTTAGGTTTTTAAAGAATTATTTTCTTAAAGTGTACCATATTTTTAAATGTTGAAATTTGTATTTGTAAGGTCTTAAGATAGTTTTGTTTTGTTTTTTATTATTTTGTGGAAACGTAAGTACACCAAAAGAGCATGTTCCTGGATTAAAATTTTTAATCTGGTATGTTCATGGAACACAATGGCTATTTATTTGGCAAGTATTTATTGACCGTGGGTATATTCCAAGCCCTATGGGATATGAATGCATAATAGTCTAGTGGGAAGTACAGAGTGTAGAAAGGTAACAATGCCGTGTGAGTCCTGAAGTGTGAACTAAGTGTTACAATCAATCAAAATATTCCATTTAATTCATCATTGCCATTTAGACTCTACGTGGATTTCCAGTTTTAAAGTATTTGAATGCAGTAATATATACTTAATTTTAAAACATCCTTGAGTATAATTTAACTATTGATAATTTATAAGACACAAAAGGACTTACACAATGCCTAAGAATCATGATTATGAATACATAAAATGGATGTCTATAATATATCAATAGAAAACTGAATTAAAGACTTTACTGGGCTAGTCCTCTTGACATTTAAGCCTTAATTCTGATTGCCACTCTAGTTTCTCTCCTTGAACAAAAGCCTGTGAACCACTTTGGCCATTCATTCATTCAGTGAAAAATCCATGCAAATGCCCACTGTATGCCAGGCAACAGGGGTAAAGGTGATGGGTATTTGTGGTAATGTGCCTTATATGCTACCAGTTCTTTTCCTACTTGACTACGGTAAGCAAGAAGAATAATAGGTTTTGTTTATTAGACCTTTATTATGTGCAGACACTGTGCTAAGCATTGGACTTGTGACTCGTTTAATCCTCACAGCACCATTACGGCATAGGTTCTCTTTTTACCCTTGTTTTATAGATGTTCGGGTGCTAAGAGTTTAAAGAATCATAGTCATACAATAGTCAGGGTCAGAGCTGATTCAGAGCCTAGAACATCACTCTGGAGTGCAGGCTCTTAGTCACCCTTATGTATATATGAATCATGGGTGCTACTTGCTGATTGCCCACAGCTATAATTTATTTGCCCAGAGTCTTTCATCTTTGGGTTTTGTTTTAATAATTATTAAGATATAATTTACATATCTCTCTCACATTTGACTTCTCACTAATGGGTAACAGAATCTCAAGAGTTACCATTCCTGAATCGAAAAAAAAAAAAAAGAGAGAGATCATTCCGCCAAGATGGAGGCATAGGTGGAAACACCGTGCTTTCTCACACAACCAAGTTTAGAGACAACTAAATATTAGCAACAGAAAACACAGCCAGAACACGGAAAATTGAACTTTTCGGAAGTCTGATAACAACAAATTCTTCAGCCTGACCGGTAAGAGGGGCGAAACCAGCAGCTGGCAGAGCGGGGTTGCACAGGAAAACTCGGTCAGACGGACTCAGGCGTGCGAAATCCAGGCACAGGGTTGGACCTAGTGAGCGACCCAGCGAGCAACCGCGGGAAAACAGCGAGGGAACAGGGCTGCGGGTTGACTGTGGTCGTGCATTCGTGCGCAGATAGACAAGCGAGGGAGTGGGCAATTGGACGGGACCCAGCAGGCCCAAGCGGTGAGCAGCAGTGGAGGGGGCTGCCATTTCCCCGCTCTGACCCCACCTCCACATACAGTGTCATAACCCAGCGACCTGGGAATCCAAGGCTCCTCCTCATACTTAACAGGCGCGAACAGACCAAAAATGGCTCAAGAAGATCTCAAAGCCCCAGAGCCTATAAATCTAAGCAATGAAGAAATAGCAAGGGCGTGTAGTAGTGGAGAGCCGGAGTACTCTCAGATGCACAGTTTAAAACGCTGGTGATCAGGATCCTCACAGAACTGGTTGATTATAGCCACAAATTAGAGAAACATATAAAGGTGAAACTAATTGAAATTAATGGAATTGCACAGGAAACCAATAGCGATGAAAAGGAAACTAGGACTCAAATCAATGGAGTGGACCAGAAGAAAGCAAATAATGGCCAAACAGAAAAGAGTCAAGAAGCAAGAATTCAAAGAAATGAGGAGAGTCTTAGGAACCTCCAGGACATCTTTAAACGCTCCAACATCTGAATTATAGGGGTACCAGAAGGGGGAAAGAAACAGCCACCAGTGGAAAACTTATTTGAACAAATAATAAAGGAGAATTTCCCCAATCTGGCAAAGGAAATAGACTTCCAGGAAATCCAGGAAGCTCAGAGAGTCCCAAAGAAGTTGGACCCAAGAAGAAACACACCAAGGCACATCATTGTTACATTAGCCGAGATTAAAATGAAGGAGAGAATCCTACAAGCAGCAAGAGCTAAGGGGACAGTCACCTACAAAGGAGTTCCCATCAGAATGTCAGCGGATTTCTCAAAAGAGACCTTACAGGCAAGAAGGGGCTGGGAAGAGGTATTCCAAGTCATGAAATCCCAAGACCTACAACGAAGATTGCTCTATCCAGCAAAACTTTCATTTAGAATGGAAGGACAGATAAAGTGCTTCTCAGATAAGGTCAA